ATATTTTATTTTATGTAGGTTATGCCGCATCGTGTTATGAATGATATTTTATTTTATGTAGGCTATGCCACTTCGTTTCATACAACGAACATTGCTTTTTTTTGAATAGGTTATATGGCATCATATTATGTATAGTGTATAGCTTTCTGTTATGTAAGTTATAGAATATTATGTTATGTATGATATAAAGTTTTCTGTTATGTAGGTTATAACATATCGCATTGTGTATGATACATAGCATTCTGTTATTTAGGCTGTAGTATATAACGTTATGTATCATATAAAGCTTTCTGTTATGTAGTCTATACAGCATCATACTGTGTATGATATATAGCTTTCTGCTGTGTAGGTTATAGCATATCATGACATGTTGTGTTATGTCGTACTAATATAGTATTTCAAATGTTACGAAACGTTCTCTCATCACGTTTCAATGTACCCCTTCTGAAACTTGCACATAATTTGGGACTCGTATTGCACATCTTAAAGAATAATCTTTAGGTTTTGTGACTTATCTTGCAAAAAAAAAAGATATTAACAGAAACGCTCATTAACTGAGACAAACTTATGAAACTATTCCTTATGTCTCATGACGTATATTGTACATATGCGTGTTAAGTGATAAAAACACTTAAACTCAGACAAAATGTATAAAACTATTTTGTAGGTTGTGTAACGCATCTTGTACAAATGCGTTTTGTCTGAGATAAGCACATTAACTGACACAAAACTTATGAAAGTTATGATACGCATAAACTGAGACGGAACATGCAAGTCGCTCCCAGTTGCTCAATGGTACATCTGAAGGCTTATAATGCTAATAACCATTGTGTAGCTTTGTGTTTTTAGATTGTGATATATTAAGCTTTTATAAACAATTTTAAAGTTGTAATGTGTATTGCACAGAAGGTTGAGCATTGAGGCAGAGCAAAAAAATTATATTTAACATTAAGCAGTGTAAACTGTGCGTAGTGTAGAGTTGATACCCCCCCCCCACTTCAGTGGCACAGCGGTATGTCTGCGAACTTACAACGCTAGAAACCGGGTTTCGATACCCGTGGTGTGCAGAGCACAGATAGCCCATTGTATAGCAACTGTGTATATTGTACAGAAGCCCTACTTGATACTAAGCGCTGTGTATTATCTATATTGTACAAATACCCTACTTAACACCAAGTACTGTAAATTATGTATATTGTACAAATGCCCTATTTAACACAAAGCACTAAGAATTATGTATATTGTACAAATACCTTACTTAACACAAAGCACTGTGAATTATGTATATTGTACAAATACCCTACTTAACACAAAGCACTGTGAATTATGTATATTGTACAAATACCCTACTTAACACAAAGCACTGTGAATTATGTATATTGTACAAATACCTTACTTAACACAAAGCACTGTGAATTATGTATATTGTACAAATACCTTACTTAACACAAAGCACTGTGAATTATGTATATTGCACAAATGTCCTATTGAACATAAAGCACTATGAACTATGTATATTGCACAAATGTCCTATTTAACATAAAGCACTATGAACTATGTATATTGCACAAATGTCCTATTTAACATAAAGCACTATGAACTATCTATATTGCACAAATGTCCTATTTAACATAAAGCACTATGAACTATCTATATTGCACAAATGTCCTATTTAACACAAAGCACTATGAACTATGTATATTGCACTCTTACATATGTCCTACTTAACAACAAACACTGCGAGCTATAAATAGGAAACACAATTAAGATTTTTAACGGAAAGTAGGGATTGTTGGTTATTCGTAGAATTGTTATAAGAAGTAACAGAATAAATGCTGCAATAAAAAGTAAATTGATACTAGTTGGATAGATTTTAAAACAATTTTCAAATTCTACTTTGGTTGGCAAATTTACACTGCTTCATTTAACTATACGGATCACAATTTCAACCAAATTAGGGATTGAAAATCGTTTTAAAATCTATCCAAATAGTATCAGTTTAGTTATTTGTATACTTTTTATTGTAGCATTTATTCGGTTACTTCTTATAACAATTCAACGAATAATCAACGATCCATACGTTCCCTTAAAATTTTCATTTTTCCTTAATTATTTGTTCATTTTTTTATATGTCCATGGAATGGACACAACATCTATAAACTCTTAGTATAGCCATATTCCTGATAGCTATAACCTTTACAAGAATTAAAATCACAATCACAAATTCGTGAAATGTGTTCCTTACTCTGGCCTACCGGTAAATGTGCCCTCCCAGTGGCACAGTGGTATGTCTGCGGACTTACAACGCTAGAAACCGGGTTTCGATACCCGTGGTGGGCAGAGCATAGATAGCCTATTGTGTAGATTTTTGTTTAATTCCAAACAAACAAAACAGATAAATGTATAAAGCTGCCAAAGTAGGGATTAAATTTTATAAATTTGTCATTGTGATTTTATGTGTTGTTTCATTACCTTTTGTAATAGGATCCCTACTTCATTTTAAAATTCATAATTTTTTAATATTTTTGTTTGTTTGCTTTTTATGCTACACCTATACAAAGTGTATACGTTACAATATTTACATTTAGAAACTGTCACGTGTCTACCCATCGATATGTAGTGCCATCTGTTGGGTTGAATTGGGTTGAAAATATATTTAAGTACGTGCATGATATGTTTACCATTTATAAAAAATCAGTATATATTTATCAGAATATCAAAAGCGGTACCCACAGACCAGTCAAGTGAGCTGGAGAAATATTGTAGTGATAGTCCGAGCCTTCTAGTGTCTAGCCCCGCTGAGGTGATCAGGTAGGTAGGTAGGTAGTAGATGAAAACCTGCTGATTTAGAAATTTTTCATTTGTTATCCCGGAAATGTTAGCGACCTTTTTATCGTATTATTAGTATATATGCGCATAATATATCGTAACCACTACTTTAAATGGTAGGTCCTTCATTTAGGAATTTAATAAGGTCGTTTTTCGGCGCGTGAATTATTTGGAATCCTTGCCGATCCCCTATTAGATACAATTGTATTTAATAATATTGTACTCATACACATATGTCTTACTTAACAACAAACACTGTGAGCTATGTACATTGTACTCGTATCTACTTACAACTTAACAACAAGGACTGCGAACTATGTATGTTGTAGAAATGTCCTACTTAACACCAAGCACTGTGAACTATGTATATTTTACATAACTTGATGTTTTCAACCTGCACTAAAATTTATGAAAAACATGCGCTTGGCTTTCGATTTATCCATTTATAATTTACTAGATATACTTTTGCAGAGTCCCATAGTGTTCTGTTTCAAGAGTAAGTAGAACCAAAATTAAGAGTAATACATATTTTTATTTCTTGTTTTTGAAGTTCATATGTCATGCTGTGTTGTAGTGTACAGAATGTATAATTCTTCTCGTGACTCGTGGCATGTGCACATTTTACTGACGTCAAGATAGTAAAAATTGCAACATTAAGCTTTCCTTCTATGACGTCATTTTAGTGTCTACTGACTAACTGACAGACAACACACTACTGTATAATGGTGCGAGTGGTTAAAAAAGGTGACCTCTCCAGGCGGCCTTTGGCCCCCTTTCGGGATAGTAACTGCTGATCAGAAAAGAAACATCAATCAGCAGCAACCACTGGCTAACTCTAACCAAATAGCGGATCAACTCTCATAGGGTAGAGTGATCCTAGTGGCTAGTGTGCCGGGCTATGGAACTGAGTGTTTGTGATTCACGCCCCTTACCACCACCAAAAAAAAAAAAATACTCGCTCCTCATTTTGGAGCCGTGGGTGCATTATAAAAGTTACGTTCAAATCTTACTATTTAGTTAACGAAAGTAGCTCAAGAGTTGGCGGTAGGTGGTGTTGAGTAGCTGCCCTCCCTCCAATCTATCTACTCAAAATTATGGGTGACTATCGTAGATAGTAATCGCGTAGCTTTGTGCAAAATCTAACAAAAGAAACAAGATTCTCGCAATTAGAACACCCCCAAAGCTGACAGTGTGAAATATGTTGCGTAAAATATCGTATCTCAAACCTTGGACGTTTAGATCCGCAACCTAGCATACTAGCCACTAGGCAGTAATTGATTGTTTTACTTATTTAATGCTAAGTAGTGTGAACTCTGTATGTTGTAATGCATCTCAAAGACTCGTGAAAACGGTTTTATTTTACTTTTTTGAAATTATTTTATATTGCTAGATATATTTAAATTAAGCTCAAAGGTCTTTCTAGGATTTTTTATTTGGAGCATAAGATAAAGAGTTAGTTTAAAGGGCAAAAACTTTAACACTTTCATCTCAGTAAGAGTAACAACTCTGAAAATACAGTATCTCAGATGGGGGTTGTTGGAAGATAGAGCTCTCCAATGGGGTTTTACCATCACCCCAATGAACACACTCCTGATTAGGTTATAATGAATTTAACTTAAATTAAAATATGCCTTACACATTGTTGAGTAATGGACAATGAGAGTTTATATTCATAAAATTATATATATATATATTAAATATTTTGTTTATTTATTTTTGTAGCTTTGCCGGTCGTATGGCCACATCCTATCGAGTTCGACACCCGTGTGAAGTCTTTGGAGTTAACTAGTTTCTGGTTTTGAGTGGAAACGGCCGTATCTCTCTTTGATATTATCGTCGTGAAAATCCTAGCTTGTTAATCTTTCGTCTAAAATTTGGGTCTTCATTATTATTTCTACATTAATCACTTGAAGCACTCATTCGAAGTCGTGGCAACCAGAGTTCTCCATAATTCACCTCAGCGTTCTAGTCTCTTATCATCAACAATATTTCTGTCTTGAAAAAGCCACTGAGAATCGTAAACGACAAAAATTCCGATTGTTTTTAGAAGTGGTATAACCCTCACAAAACGTTCATCGAACATCAAAAAGATTCTAGTTTCTCTAGACCATCCATCGAACGTCAAGAAGATTTTGGTTTTTCCAGTCTTAAGCTATTCCTTTTGGTTTATTATGTTGACTTGTATCGACGACAACAGGACTTGTTTAAACGACAGTATAAACACGACAGTTCAATATTATGATCACATACCTTATTCAGTGCGACCAGAAACCTATATAGTTCCCGCATTGTTTGTTGTCATCTTCTTGGTTGGTCTGATAGGAAATGGAACTTTGATCTGGATGTTTTTCTGGAATGACGATATGCACAGTGTCTCCAATATCTTCCTGATGTGTTTGTCTGTGGGAGACATGATTGTCATTTTGTTCACTGTTCCATTTGTAGGGACAATCTACATATTCGAAAGCTGGCCATATGGAGAGTTTGTGTGTAAAATGAGTGAATTTCTGTGCGACCTGTCAGAGGGTGTGACCATCTTGAGCTTAACCGTCTTGAGTGTGGATCGGTACATGGTTGTCTCCACACCACTCCGCAAACAACAAACATATCACTCTAAATTATTGATTATTGTCGTAGCTATGGTCATCTGGGTCATATCAATTGGGCTAGCTATTCCAGGTGCTTATTTTTCTTTCATCTATAAATTAGCAGGCAGTGGGAAGATAATCAAAATATGTTATCCATTTCCTTCACAACTAGGACACTGGTATCCTCGTGCCATAGTGCTGTGCAAATTTGTGCTCCTCTACGCACTCCCACTGGTAATAATTAGTGTTTTCTACGTCTTGACGGCCCAGCATCTGCTCTTAAGCACCAAAGAAAGAGTTGTTAAGAATGTCAACCACATCCGCCAGCTGAAAGCTCGCAAAAAAGTAGCATGGACTGTCTTATCTCTGGTAGGGATTTTCTGCATTTGTTTTTTCCCAAGTCATCTCTTTATGCTCTGGTTTTACTTTCACCCGGATTCTTTGGAAGCCTACAACGACTTCTGGCATGCTTGGAAGATTACTGGCTACATTCTGATATTCGCCAATAGTTGCCTCAATCCCATTGCCATCTACTGTGTAAGTAACGTCTTCCGAAACTACTTCCATCACTACCTCTTCTGCTGTCGCCATGGTGACACCCATCGTCAATGCCCTCTCACCCACCAAACTGTCTTCCTTCCTCTTAGATATACAAGAAACAGTGCTATAACTAGGGTGTAACAGCGAAAATCTAATGTACAAAGTGGTTTTCCTAAGACATAACGTGTATAAAAATATATGACATAAATACTAAGATAAAATAAGCAAAACCGTTAGAATATTAACATCAATTTACACCATTAGCAAGATATAGCATGCACGTAAATGTGGCATATCTTATCAAGACATATCATGTAAATATATGTGACACAAGTAATGAAATATAAAATGTATACATTATATGTTAAGTTCGTTAATATCCAAAATTGATAACAAAGCTATGGTATTTTTCAGCTACATACCATTTATAAAAGATATGGTGTAATTAGTAAAATATAGCTTATACAATAAGATAAATTACATCATCTTTAATTGAAAGCATCATTAGAAACTTCATTACAAAAGTGTAAGGAAAAGCAATGTATCGTTGATTCTGTGCTTGTAGTATGCAAGCATACTAAGTGTTTTCAGTTTTCTTTATTTAAAAGAGTAAATTCTTAAAGTGCACCTACAACACTGTTTTCAAAATTTTGCGTGCTCGTATATGTAGTCTTAACAGTAATATATTGGTCAAATAATGTGGGTAAATTCCTTTCGCTCTAATTATTTATAGTATCCCATACGTTTTCTCGTGGAAAAGATTGCTGTTAAGTAGAACATGTTATGTAAAAGAGTAAAAGAATACAGTGATCTTTTCCACAAACCGTTCAGATGATACTTTCAGGTTATATCCTCTTTATTTTTCGATTGGTTTGTTTTTTTTTTGTTTGTTTTTGAATTGCGCGCAAAGTTACACAATGGCTATCTGCGCTAGCTGTCTCTAATTTAGCAGTGTAAGACTAGAGGGAAGGCAGATAGTCATCACCACCCACCGCCAACTCTTGGGCTACTCTTTTACCAACTAATAGTGGTATTGATCGTCACATTATTAT